CTTGTTCTTTATTGCTGGTTACGAAAACATTTAGCAACTAGTCCCCTTTCGTGTTTTACTTCAAGAAAGAAGAAGAAGGAGGCCTTTAATCTCTGGGACCCGTGTACGGGTAATGATAAACGACCGCAACTGCGTAAAACTGTGAAGTGTATTTCATGCGTCCAGCAGCTCTGCCGTGAAATTATCGCGAATGTGTCGCGCACTCTACGACCCTCATACTGCTCCAAGAACCGCAAGCATAATGTAGGTTTATTGCAGTTACAATTTCGGTTGTTATTTCATCCAAGTTCTCCGCGTTTCCTTAAGTTCTTTTTCCTTTCAATAGGAATATTCTAAGAATGTCCATTATGCTTTGTAACATGATGGATTTACATTAAAATCTTGTTTCTAATTCTTAGGAATCTCCTTTCTTTTGTAAGTGCTCAAAATGAGTCTACGGAAAAAATTACTCATTCTAATTCAATTCCTCATTCATAGATTGTAAATTCTTATTTAAATTATCTTCAGTATAGTTAAGATTGGAAAAGTTGTAATTGAACCAAAATTTATTTCTTGAATTAATGGAGTTAAAAGTAAATAGGCCTCCAAGGGATAAGCTTAATATTTTAAAGAACGTTGTATACAATGCATAAAAATGTGCAATCTATTGATTCAGGATAATAAAAATGGTGAACTTTGGAACAGAGTCAAGCAAGACACACGTTTATACGGTTTTCTTTCGATATTTTGGTGTACCCTGTGGATCCTTAAGGCGAATTTCTCATGCGATCAGATGTAGCATACAAATATTGCTTACAAATTTAACGAAACAATAAATTCTTTTACGGTTTCGTATTGTTCGACTGTGGAAGGTCTCGATACACGAGGTCTTCGAAAATTCCGGTCGCTCCGGACGATTTCGGAAAAGAAGCACGTTTGCCACATTCGTGACAGCGGGGCAAGGAGGATAGGGAAAACGTATTCGCGTTTTCCACGAACGAATAACCCCGGGAAAAGTCGAGGACCGTGAGGTTTCGCGAAATATGTCAAACAGGGACGAGAAATATTGACTTCAATATTTATAGAGGCGAATCTTGGGATCCAAGTGCACGCTATCGGAGCCATATTCCCTTCGCGATCTGCACACTGAGAAAGAGAAATCTTGTTACTTCGTGTCACACGCCAGCTCTATATTGTGTCACATTTCTCCCATGAATCTAACAAATTTCTATATCGTTTTGCACCAATTAAATATACATTAGAATAGTTCTGTAGCTTAGAACAAAATTTATATATTCGAGCAATCACCTCTACTTTACATTGCTTCGTGTTGATTAGGATTTATCCAATCAATCCCCAATCTGTGATCTCTCGATCGATCGAGACTGAATAACTTCGTTTATCGTTTTACCGATTTTAAATCCGGTCGTTCGGTTCGAAACGTTTCCGTCGAATTTTCCGTTCTCCCGGTATATTTCCCCATTTACCTCACCCGGGGGCATTTCTCATGTCGAACGCGATAGAAGGCTTCGAATGAAACCGACGCGGGCTTGCCAGAGAGACGAGTGGATATCCTTCGGATGAGACAAGAAAGTTCGCGGACGTTTAAGTTCTCCCCGTTCTTTTTGTCCGAGACACCAGCGCTCGTAAAGTAGCTCCACGGAAGCGATCGTCTTTCGTCCTGACAGATCATGAGGGTTCGCAACGAACTGAGGTGAGCTGCTGCTGCTACCCAGGCGGTCGAGGGATATATTAGAATCTGATTCAACACTAAACCGACCCGCTAATGGAATTGACTGTTAGAAGTTTGTGTGCCGAACATCACGTTTTCAGCCGCAACTCCGAGGACCACGGGGAGTGGGCTGAAACCACTGTTCCCTGACGCACTGGAAACTCCGGTAATGGATATCTTCCTTCAGTCAAACATCCCGCTTCATCGATGTTTCTGACTGTTTGCCACTGGGGAAGTTAATTGGGACAATTTAACTGGGCGCCAACTGATGGTTTTGGTAACGGGAATATTTCGTTGTGCCATAGATTTGATGGAACATTTGTTGTTTTTATTATAGCATGTACAATTGCACATGGTATGTCCGAAAATTTTCAGAATTGAAATTGAAACTGCGGTTTTTCGTAAAATCATAATACTCTTCGTCATGAATTATTCAAAATATTTTTCTTTTGAAGAGTTACTGTACGTAATAATTATAGAAATTTTGGAAGTGAATTTCATAATTTTTTTCTTTCGTAAATGATGAAATGAACAACGGTCGAAAGTTTTGGTATCAGGAGTCATGAATTAACACAATTTTACTATTTTTGAATTGAAAATTCTAGGTCATATATTATCGATGAAAATAGATGGCAATGGTTCTCGCGATACGGTTCCGAGCCAGTGCCAAAGAGCGAGTCAGTACTGTACTCTATTTCCCTCCAACCACGAACGTCCGAATTTCCACGAAATAAAATTACTCGACGAGATTGAAATCGAATTTCCTCTTTTTTTCCAATGGTTGTTGCAGCAGATTCTAAGACGCCGACTGTATATATTCCCCCGCATTGCTTACACGCCGATGATAAATGCAGATTCTTCCTTCTACCCGCAATCGCTGGCCTCTTCTCGTTCCTCGGCCTCGAAACCCCGGTATCTAGCCCGAGGCAATCGCTGAAGCAATCTCGACTTCTTATTGATTGCAGCTCAAGCAACTCGTGCGTGTAAGGGGCTCAAGCCAGTCGAACGCTATCCTCCGGATTTTAAAATCGTTCCCTCGAATTGAACAAGGGGACGCCACGGAAATTATTCTGTCGAGGATTGTTTCGATTCCTGCGATTTTTATTTCCCCCGACTCCCTTGTTCGTTTTCTTTATGAACCAACATACGTGATCCGAGATAAAATTTCACTTCATATGTGAAATCAAATATTCTTCTGATATAAATAAGTTTACTATTCTTAATCCGATTGTTATGTTGACTATTCTGATTATATGTGAAGAATAACGATGCGTGTTTCCGTAGGATACAAATGTAAAATTACAAACAAAAGTACCACAGATTACTAGACTACCTACGTAATAATCATATTCAAATTAAACGTTCGGTCCACCTGGACCCACGACTATTAAGAGTTCGGATGAAAAAATTCCCAACGATTCGATGCCTTAACAACCAAGATTCAGGTTCGATGGCTTTAAACGATAAAAAAAAGATCAGAAACTCTCCACATCTGCCCAGTAAACATGTTTCATCCCCTATTCGCAATCTCCTCCACTGTAACATCTAAAACTGCCCCCAATTATAATTTTTCAAAACGCTTACAAGTATCTACACAGGAAGTCAGTCCATATGGATCCCTCATGTTCCCCCATGGTGTTTAAGTTCAGGCAAGCCTTCGACTTCTCAAGTGTTTCGGGACATCGATGTAGGGGGACACGGGAATGTGGAGGATACAGCAGAAGGGTCCTCGTCGCTACGGGACGATTCCGTTTGATCTTCGAAAGACACGCGGGAACGTACCCCCCCAACCCCCTTTGTTGCGCGCGCAAAGTGGGTCCTCGTCGCTACGGGACGATTCCGTTTGATCTTCGAAAGACACGCGGGAACGTACCCCCCAACCCCCTTTGTTGCGCGCGCAAAGGGCGGTGGAAAAAAGTTTATGACGCGGAATGGGAATTGATGTCTCGTAAAGCCAGGCTCTGCTTGCATCGTACTTTCCGTGTGATGTTATCCTGTTAACGTGTTTAGATGTTTCCCCCTTACGCTCTGTTAGAGCAAATCTCCACGTAGATAAATTGGCCGTCGCGGCACGTGGCCTATCTTAATATTGCATATCATTACTGCCGCTTAATGGTTCCCGACAACAACTACAATTACGGGTAATAACTTAGACCGAGTCACAACATCGTATAAGCTGCATCGTAGACACACACCTAATATGTTGCGTTATATCGACGCTGTCTCAGACACGACATGGGTAGCATTTTTTGGGCTGTCACGACTGAATCACCGAGACTTAATTGCTGTCATCGAGCTCGTTCTCTGAGCATTGTACATTGAAGTGTAAATTCAGCTTTGGCTAGGGGAAAATGTAACGTAGGGGTAGAGCCTCCTACCACTTGGCACCGGAAATTACTGAAATTTATGCCAAATTAACATTCGATTTTACATTTATTTTTCTCCGCCTAACTTCTTACGCCAGTTTTTCCCCTGGCGGAAGCCGAGTTTGCTCGTGAAGGTACATATCCTGAGGGACTTGAATTCGTGAAACGAACATTCGAACGAAAACGACTCAGTATTTACAATTAGTTAACTTTGTTCTGTACGAAATGTGGGAAAATGTTTAATTATTTGGTGTAACTTATTATATGTATATTCTTTTATGCAAAATGCAACGGACACACAGCTGTATTGATTCTTCGCAAACTGTTTCCATAGGTAAGCTGATATTCGACTGTTATTGACCACATGTCGAGAACAATTCCGTAAACATCAACAAATCGCGGAGTTCGTATTAATAAATACTAAATCGTATAAGCAGACGTGAAACAATGTAATCATTAATTAATGTACGCGTACAGGATGTCATAATAACAATAATGGGACACATCCACAGGATCGATTCTATACGTCAAATTAAGACCAGAATAAAAAATGATGAAATTTCGTTCGAAACTTCATTCCTGAGTTATTAATTGTTGAAAACACAGGCGAAATACGTGTGAAATACGTCTGACGAGTAATCTACTTGAGATTCGCGTTATTTAACTTTTTCCACGAGTTGGTTTCATTCATTAAATTCAGTAGTTAATGACTACGAAACAAAACGACAAACGAAAGTTCGTCATTTCTGATTTACGTCTTATTTTGGCACATATTATAGAATCCACCCTGCGAAAGTGTTCCACATTTTTATTATCACCCTGTGTATATGACGTCGAATTACAGACTGCAAGGAGGGTTAATATTGAAAAGTGATTGTAATATTGCGGGGTCGCAGAAAAGTGGAATAAGTTTTCTCACTTACCGGTGACCTTGATGTGATAGGGCAACTGGGCACGCCACGTGTCCTGCATTTTTCGATCGGGCGCGACGCATCGATACTCCCCGGCCTCCTGATAAACGACACGACTTAGAGCCAGTGGTCCGGGACCGCCGACTGGATCCATTCCAGGACCGTGTCCCCAGCAACCACCGTCGCACTCCAAAGTCACCGCGCCGCCGATCTGAACTTCCATCTTCCGGGAATCGGTTGCCTCGCCGTTCAAAGCTTCAGCTTCCGTTTCCATGTCTGGGTCATCTGCGTATCATTGATTTCAAAGTTTGTAAATAAATGTATACAAAACAAAGATTACCATTTGCCTTGTAAATCGAAGTGTACGCCTCACTATTCGCAACAGACTATTCAAATAAAACAGAAAATATAGAAGAATTACTTTAAAAAAAAAAAACTTCAACTTCCAACCCATTCCAATCTATTTTCCCCACAAAAAAAATTCCATGTGTCGTCCCTTAATAATTCAATTATTAAGGACTATTTTCCAAAAATTTCCGATAATATCCGCTATCGGGAAACATTCGAAATTTCAATTTCTCCGTAGGTGCCGAGCTTGGTCCGCACGATCACGATTCTCGAGCACGCATCGAACATCCTTATCCGTGGGTATCTTAAAGCGATCCCAGGATCCAACGGCGTTGTCATCGATATCAACGAGAGGGCGGCCCCTCGCATCAGGAATCGGACTCACGTACCGGGGATAAAGCTAGGGGGTGTAAGTGGCGCTACCGCGTGTGGGGTTTAGCAAAATCTTTTCCCGGACCTCGAGGACACCGCAGTCGTATCCCAACCATCCCCCTCCACGTCTTTTCTCTTTCGATCCCACCTACAGAATTATACGTCCGCGATCGTTTGCTCTCGAGCTAACGCTATGTCCACAATTACGGATGGGAAAAGGGTACGGGCGAGGGGGGTGGTTCATGTCGTGTCCGTGGTATCTCTCTTCGCCGTAGAATTAGAGTTCGGGTCGGCCAGGGGCGGTGGAATTCGTTCGAGGGTGAGAAGGAAGCGCAGAAGGAACGAAAAGAAGACGAAGAAAAGGGGTGGTGGGCCCGAAAGGGAGACGGTGGTAGGGGAAGAGGGATGGAGAAAGAACAGTTCTTTGAGTTAGCAAGCTGATCCTCCGGCTCATCCTATAACAAAACAAAGGGATCAAAGTGGTGGATGCGACGATAGGAGGCTTTTACACCCACCCCCCTGATCACCCGCCCTTTTCGACCCCCGACTCTCGTGCCTCGGCTCGCTGGCTGCCCCCGACTATACCTCGTTTGTCTTGTAGTTTGTTCGGAATTTTAACGGCAAACACAGTTCCGACGCTATAACAAACACGACGAGGGCATTTTCCACTTTTTCTTCGTTACAACCGGGTGGTGCACGTCGCCTCTTTTTTTAATGGCGATTCTCGTTACCGACGAATTTGATCTATCGCCCAGCAATCCCAGCCGACCCCGCGCGCTTTGATCCCTATGACGCTAGTCGAGACTGGTTGGAATCCACAGGGTGTCGATGTGATTCGCATTCGTGATCAACCCTTCTATCGTGTGAGCATGCAAATTAAGGTTTCTACCATTTTACGGAGAAGCTTGGCTCTCTGGTAGTATTTCAACGTTTAGAAGAGCTTTGTAAGAGCGGCTTTGTGCTTCTTCGATTTGGAATTGTGAGCAATCTGGTAGTCGGTGATGGAACTCCGATGAATTCTGACTTTCACGTATGTAGATGAAGAGTTCCCAAGTGATACGGAAGTAGCCACCCAATTTTTCTTTAAACCTCCTACACCGAATGCAGGGTCATTTTGATCCAGTTACAGAAATCACCTTATTCTTTGTTCAAATGTTAGTTATATTAGTGACAATACACTAATAATCAAAACGTCATAAAACATCGACACAATATCAATCAAGGATGTAGTTCTCGACGACAAAATTTTCGTGTCCTTGTCGCGACTAAATTTTTCTATTTGAAAAAGTTTGGATATTTTTAGGACCATACACATGAAAACATATTTACAATTTTATATACAATTCATCCATCAATTCCGTATATAATAAAGTTTTATTTACTTGTCAAAATGACCCTGCATTCGTTTGCTGTGTCATTTCCAGAATATCAGTCTTGCTACGTTTCACTCGCCTAAAATTGCATTTCGATACCAGAAGCAAAAATTACAGTGTATCCTTTATCCTTTAATCTACACACGAAGTTCGTTTTTTACCCGAAATTCCAATCAGTAACGAGCTCGTACAACACGGAATTAAACCCTTTGCAAAGACCGCTCCCCCCAGGAGACAGCAAATCCAATCGAAGTCGCCGGAGTCATTGAAAAAAATCTAAAATCGTTAAAAATCAATTTACGAAGGAGATCCCCCTCCCAGTCCGTGGGTACCCTTTTTCACACGGGTGTTCTCCTATCTAAACGCGTGTGCCTGTCGACAATCCCCGGGTGAAATTGCAGAGACCGTTTAAAACCCGCTCCCGACGTTATCCGTGGATAAGTAATCCCGGCCAGGAGATTCGAACAGGACGTGGTAGCACTGTAATCGATAATTCCTACGGAGGATGGTTGGTTTATAGGTGCTCTAGAGCCATCTAAATTGCGTAGAGATTAGGTGCTCGGAAACCCGTATCGAGAATCGTCGGTTGAGGGTGCAAACGGAAGCGAGGGAGCCGAAGAGGGGAACTCGGATCGGTCGAGAAGGACGATGGTGGGACGAAGGGGGTAGAGATTTCGAGAGATGGAAGGGGGAGGGGGTGGGACACGGATCACCCTACCACTGGTTATAATGGCAAGATGGAAGGAATGGAGGAGGGGAGGGACCACCGTAGGAAATTTGCAAATTTTCACGACAGGGCACGGATAATTTCCGGGTGGCTCGGTGGCTAGGAATGCCTGCCCCGCTATCGCCCCCTTTCCTCCTGGAGAACAGATAGACAATACTCTTTCGGATGCGAAACGCACGATCGTTTGCTGTTTTTACTTCAGTCGGAGGCGAATCCAAGCTAGCTCGAGGATGGCTAATCCAACGCTTGTATCTACGGTATCGGAATTAATTTTTAAATAATTAAAACATTTCAAACTAAACTTCCTTTTCAATTTTTTACAATGAATATTCCTTGTTTCTGCCGTCCATTAAATTTTCCAAACCTCTACATCTCTCTCCTACAGAAACACCAAATAAAAATAAAAATGACATAATAGTTAATAACTCTAAGCAACATTCTACATTAATATCATCGATACCGTTACACCAAGTATCGACAGAGCTCAATTATCCGCGTATTTCCGATATACCCCGAAATATCTTGTGTATCCGTGAAATTCGGACAAACTCCCACCGATACATCGACGTAATTTAGAAATAAAATTTTTAGACAATATATTAACCCCGCCGGCAATTGGTAATCTCGTACAAGGCAGGAACAATAGGCCCGCTATATTGTTCGAGCGTAGGCCCGGTGAAAGGGTCAAAACGAGGCCGCGCGCCACGTCGTCGTCGGCGGCGGCGATTGGACTATCGATCTACTCACAGCGTACGTTGAGAAAATAACCGATGCTGGTGAATATGCCGAGCATGTGCCTGGTGTAACATTTGTACCAGCCGCTCTCGGCCCGGCTGATTTTTGTGAAGTTCAGCCATCCGTCGTCGCTCTGCTCGACGGGCGGTCCATTGTCTGAAACACAAACGCGGAGGCTCCGCTGGATACGCGAATTAACTCGCTGGAAACATCGCTGGTAGCGCGGGGAAGGACGAGGAATCGTCGCCGTCCGAGCGTGGACCCGCTCGTTCACTCGCTGCACGATCTTCTCACGCGAGTCCAGCTCGCGCGCGCGCATTTTCCCCGTGCAGTTACCGATTAACCGGCTGGAATTACGCGGTCGAGGCTGGCGCGACGCCAAAACGACACGAGCAACGGGATAGGACAGCCGGCTCTACCACGTTATTGTCCTTTGAAAAATTCCGCCCCGCGCGAAATTACGCGCCGTCGACTTGGAATAATACGCGGATATGGGCTTGTTATAATAATATATTGTTCGGAAGGATCTACTTGTACTGTACAGTACAAGAAGAAAAAAGATATTGGAAGTTTCCTTTCGAATATTCCGTGTATAGGATTGTGTTGCAAAATCTCATTGTCGATTAACAGTTGTCGGGTTGTAGATTTTTGGGAAATTACAAGGTTTGATCAGACATGTTCAGAGACTCCAGGTGTAAATTATTTATTGTTAATCTGAACAGTAATTCTGTAGGATTGTAATGAAGGTAATCTTCTCTATAATTATAATTTTATATAATATTGTTTAATGCAACACAAACTGACTGTAATGTGTTAATATACTAGTCTTCCTGAACTACCAGCTTTATTATTCTTTAACGATTGTCTATAAATTCAAAGATATTCATTGTGTCATGCATGATCCTAAGATATTTTCAAGCAGTGAAATTAATAGAAGATCTATCGCGAAACCCTAAAACCTCAGTTTATGTACTTAATGTATTACAGAGATTCGCCTGTAAAATATATCTATATTATAATTATGCATTACCTTCAAATCACCAGACATAGCAACGCAGAGTCGTACAATAAACAGAAACCGTACCACCAACCTATAAGAAACATTTTCGAGAAATGTCCAAAGATTTCGAAGCTCTCCCTACAAAGCTGATCCTATTCGAACATCACCAGACGAATTAACGGGTGAAAATACTCGTACCCGTGGCAGAAGCATCGCCAGTAAATCCCGAGGTTAACGAAGATCCGGTAATCCAAGCCAGAGATCGTATCGATTTTATTCGGTTTAATCAAATTAGCGCACGCGATCCGCCCATTCGACTCCGCGAAACATCTTCTCTGTCTCTCTTGTCGAGGCGATGGATGAAGAACCGAAGAAACAAACAAAAGCAGGAGGAAAAAGAAGCCGACCGGGAAAAGGGATGCCCGGTCGAGTTACCCAAATAGAAAGAAAGGAAAAGGAAGAAGCTTCTATTCAAGGTGGGAGGTGGAGGAAGGGGTGGAGCTCGAGGATCTCGTTTCACCGAAGTCGTCCGCGAAACTTTCATCCGGCTATAGGCTTTTTCCTTGCTCGTTGTTTTTAGCTCGCCTCCCCCGATGCGATTTGACGAGAACCAGAATTCGGCGCAGCTGTCGGATTTACTGGTTCGAGGCTACGCCAACGTACCCGAGCATGAACCAGCGTTGACATGGACGGTAGTATTTTTTGAAGGTAAGTTTATTGTATTATAGGTACGACAAAACGTTATTGGAATTTTAGAGTAGAATCTATTGTGACCTGAGGATGATGTTACTTTTGTTCTAATAGTATAAATTCTGGCAATCAACCGTGTTGATTATAAACCTGTACCACCAACTAAAGTACCTATCTATTAAATCTTACTCAACGTCTCGTGTTATCAAATACAGTTTCAATCCGGTTACTATCATCGTAGAAAAACGACCTACATACCCCGATGCGTCAGTTTAATAAATCCCTGTTCCAGATCATCCCTGTCCCTTCCAACGGACGCGATTTGACGAGCACCAGAATTTCGTCGCAGCTGTCGGATTTACTGGTTCGAGTCTGCACCGCGTTCCCGAATGTGGAACAACGTCGAGAGGGTGAGACACACGGGGGGTTAGTTCGGGCAGTAGGGGTGGAAGAAAGCGAGTCGAAGAGGAAGATCAGCCTGGAACAAGAAGGATGAAACGTTCGTTGCCGCGCGTATCCCCTCACTCCGTCGCCGGAGTTTTCTGGCGAAACTTTTATGCGTTCCTGCATAACGGTCTAGGGGGTAAGGGGATGGTTGACTGGGGGTGGACGGGTGGTGGTGGTCGACCAAAGAGATCGGGCTCGCTCGGTGACGCTGCCAAAACACGGCCGACTCTGTGAACCGTATCTATAGCGACCGGAGGCCAGGAAAAGATGTCCCGTTATTTTGTATGAAATAGGAGCGTTACCGTGACTTGGCCCGAAAAGCCACACGACATTTCCGGTAAGGTCATACGGGGATTCCGGCAATTTGGCCGGGAAACAAAGGAAAACCCCCGGCTCGAAGCGAATCGAGAGGACACACGGGAAAGACACACGCTGTCCAGGGAGAACTGGATGAGTTGCGTGCGACGACGACCAGGATGTCCTCGTATGAAACTGCGCGGAACAATTGGGCTCTGAGGTTTCTAATTTTCGGACCGTTTAAATGTGTCGGGGAGAATGCGGCGTGTGATTCGTCGACGATACTGCTATGCCCCCCTAGCCACGGATTTAGGTCGCGTTTCGGGTAAAGCCGTTGTTTTCCGAGTATTAAGCTGGGACACACCTGGACATGTGTATAGTGGGTGCGATGCATATATGTCATCGCGTATGCATTTGAATGTTTTGAAGGAAATGTGAATTCTAAAGTAATTTTACTATCTTGATTTATTTTTATACGAGATAACGGTCTGGAGTATGGTTTGTATTTATCAACGTTCTAGAATCTGAAATGTTTTAACACGTGAATGCCACGTTACCCAAATTTGGGTGAGACGTAGGTACATTGCAAACAGGCTGCATTATTTAAATACCGTTAGAAAATTTTTGCGTAATTTAATGTCGCAGTATAATTTAGATAAAGACCAACATTAACTGAACGCAATTTTTTTGCGACGATTTATGACTTAAAAAAAGAAATAAATTGTGTCTGGCTACATACGGACTTTTTCACTCTGACAGTCAACGTGCTAACGCGTGAATGCACGTGGTTTACTCTCGGGGCACTGTTACGATAAAATACATTTGTTTGAATTTTTAGTAGGTACTAACGATATAAGTATTTGAATTTACTAATTATATTCGTGAAATGTCAAATGTTTCTGTTCACACCTTCAATGTTTTTGAGTATAGTTCAACGACGTCGGTCATCGGTGATCAGAGATGGGAAAATTCATTATCTAAGTAAAGAGTTTCGAAATTCCAATCTTTATATTAAATTAATATTATTCTGTAAACGAGTAAACACTTGGCCAATAATTCAATCCCATTAACTGTTTCAATGTCATGATGACAAGCTAATTTAGAATGGTAAAGATTATTTTCATCTGCACTTCGTCGGAAATGAACATCCAAAGTGACCAGTAAGCAAAACCAGTCCCTTGCCTGTGATGAATTGATTGGAATATGGCTCAATCATCTATCTCTTTAGATAATTCAGTGTTTGACTATGTATTAATCGAATAAAATTCTTCCCATCTCTGTCGTTGATTCCCATAACAGTGACCACGTCAAAGAAACGCGCTCCACTAAAAATTTCTCCGCAAAAATGCATCTTCAATCCATTCGATCAACCCCCCAGTCATCTTCTTCGTGGTTCCAGTACGAGATCGTCCAGAAAATTGGCCGGCAAATCTCGCCCCGTGATTCAGAAAACCCCAAACCGTTGCCTCGTTAATGACGTATGGCAACGTTCCGATAAATCGTGTCTGAACGGAAGGACTCGCGCAAGCGGGCGTCCTTTCCCAGGCGCACTTCAGGTTATCCCATTAAATATTCAATTATTTCTGCCTTCCATTTCTGACGTCCGAGGGATACCCGCGTGTGCGTCGATTCTAAGGGGAGGAGATGGAAGTAGGAGGAGAAGCTTAATCTCTATTCATAGACCGATTCGAGTGATTTCGAATAAATTCTTCCAGCGTTCCGCGAAATCCGGTGCAATTAAAATACTTTAATATCCTTTGGAGCACGTACCCGCCCCGGGCGATGCCTCCTTCCAACCACATCCTACCATCCTCCGCCTGGCCTCGCCTTGCCTCGTTTTTGGCCCCGCCGTTTCAACCCTCTCCAACCCCTCTTACCCCTCCCACCGAGAACCCGTCTCAACCCGACTTCGCTCGGCTTCCATCCCAATTTCTTTTCGGTGCGACGGGGGGGCTGCTCTTATTAAACGTCCCAATCCAGATGCCCCGAGGTATCGAGCGAGCGCTCACGTTCGCTTTCCTTCAAAGCGCCCTTTATCACCGTGGAAAAACTCGGAGATATTTTGACCATTCGTCTTCGAGCGATATATCATACGAGAGGGGTTGGAGGGGTGGGTAACTGCAGTTTTTCCCCCCGGCGAGCGTCTAATATTACGCGAGTTCGAGAACCTTTCTGATAGTTCGCGACCTTCTTCTATTTTTTTTGTTCTTTTTGCTTTCTTTCACCCGTCGGATATAAATGAGGGGACGGGGACCGAAGGAACGACGGAGAACGCAGGATGATAAGGTTGGGATGACGCGGGGAAAAAAACGTTTTATACGGAATATTTGAGGTTGTTAGCGCAGTGAATGAAATACGTATGAGGGGAGTTCTTCGTCTGGAAATCGACAGAAACGGACGGAGGGAAGAGGATGGGAGACGCGTTGTGACGTGGAGTTTTCGGTGAACTTATCGGTAAAGTTACCTAGAAGATTCTTAGACGCTAATCTTAGGATATTATAGATTCAGAATTTTGGTGTGGAAAAGACTTTTCTAGTGTCTACAGGTGATAATATCTTTTACATTCTCTTGTTCGTCTACATTCTTACTTTCTCCTACAAATTAGTCCGTTACTCCGACATCTTGAAATGAATTTCATCTACCACAATATGTTTTTTTTAATGATATTCTGCTAAATGGAGCAAAAACGAGTAAATCTCTGAAGGCATTTTTTTCTTATTTT